CTCTGGAGACAATCCAAACCCACCTGGACACATTCCTGTGACAGCTGCTCCACGTGACCCTGCTCTGGCAGGGAACTGAATGATCTCCAGAGGTCCTTTCCAACCCCAACTATTCTGGAATTACGTGGAGCAAAAAGGAGCACAGACCCTGCTGGTTCTGCTGCCATGAGTGTGTGGTGCGGCAGCAGCAGCCTGGCTCCACTGAACAGCACTCCAGCCACTGGTTTGGTGGGAAGCACAAGAGCCCTGCACAGGGCAGAGACAACGGGATCTCTGCTGCCTTCGCCCCCTCCAGCTCTCACACACAACTGCTGCAGCCAAAACCTCCCCTCCACGCTGCTGCCCAAACCATTTCTGACAAGCACCTGCAGCCTCCTGCCTTCAAGGGCCCCAAGAGGAACAACAGACAGCTTCTACTTTTATTATTACAGTTTAACACAGTCTTGGACAGAGGAGAAGCGCAGGAACCAACATGCAAAGCAATTCAAAGACCCCAGGGGCTCAAGGAAGACCACCCACAGCTCAGCTCCTGCTCCCAGCAGTGTCTCTGGGGGCTCTTTCCCTCCAGCTGCTGCTCCAGTCGTGCCCCAGAGCAGGAGGAGGTCATGGCAGACACCAAACCTACACACACAGAGAGGAGAGAACTGGCCTGGGATTGTGTCTCAAGGAGTCAGGTCCATTATCTGACTGGAGTTAAGCTGGCTTTGAAACCAGGAGAGCATCTCAATTCTTGTCTGTATAGTCAGGGAGAAGAGGGATCCTTCAGGAAGAGGCAATGGCAGGAGATGAAGCTCAGGTATTTGGGCAGTTTTCCTGTGTCAGAGCTGGCAGCTCTTAGTGCCAACAGCTCTTCTCAGTGCATCTGTTAGACAATAAATGTGGCCTTCCTCCCACTCACCTCACACTTCGGTCTTCACAGGGTCTTCTCCTGCAGCCCTGCTGCAGCCAGACTCCAAGTTCAGCCAAGTGGACAAGTTCCAGGAACAAATGGGATCTGTCAGGCATTTAGAGCTGGACACAGGTGCCTGGAGAAGGCCCAAGGCAGGAGGAGCCTTGGCTGAGGCAGCTGTCCAGCCCCACTCACTGGAGGGAGACCTCCCACCCTGCCCTACCACCCTGGGGCCAGCATGGAGCACGAGTGGGGGTGACTTTACTCTGCTCCCCAAGAGCGGCCCTCACTCCCCAGCACCTACAAAGCTGAGGACCCAGAGGGACAGGCTTTTAGGGCACAGGTCAAACTCATCCTGCACATAGGAAAGCCTTGGGGATCTTGTTGCCTTGGTTTATCTGTGTCCCTGTTCCATGGCAGGATTCCTTGTCACTGTCCTTATGCTCTGGTGAGGCTGCACAGGGTGCTCAGACACAGCACAACTCTGAGGAGCTGGTGGCACAGCTCACAGGTGGTGTCCAGCCCATGACAAACTGGTTTCCAGCTACCATCCCAGCAGGAAAGCTCCACTGCAAGCTCTCAGGGGGACAAGGAAAATCTTGGGACCTGCCAGAGCTCAATGCCAGGACTCCACAGCCTGTGCTGTGCACAGGAGAGAACTAAATACTCCCCTACATAGTCATTCCTGAGCCCCAGATCCACAAATCCTTCCCTGCCTTCTTCTCCCCCTTCTATTTCTGTGTCTGCCCCAGTGCTGCTGCTTCACATCAGTGATCATGGAGGGACAGTCTGTGACAGGCTGGGCCAGGGCCATGCAGCCCCAGAGAAGCAGAGCAGACCTGGAGGAGCTGCTTCCTACTCCCAGCAGCCACAGCTCAGGAACCAGAGCCTGAGGAATTGTGCATTTAGCAGCATTTGGAGAATCTTCCTTCCATGGATTCACTCATCATGTCTGAAACTGGGTGAGCTTGTGCCAGCCCCAGCACACACAGGGCTCCCACCAAGGGAGAGAATTGTCCCATTCTTCATTCCTTGTCTTGGAATGAACTCCAAAATGAGAATTTGTTCCATTATCCTACAGCAGCCCAATTATTTAAAAGCCTTTGGTGAAAAGCCTTCTAGAAATGCAGGTAAATTGTCAAGCCCATCACCTTGTGACCAGCACCTCTCCCAGCAGCAAGGAAAACACATTCTTCTGCTCCAGGCAGGGATCAGAACACCCAGGAATGGGCAAAGAGGCCAAGTTTTACTTCAGTGAATCAGCTTGAGCTACTTGGGATTTAAGATGCTGCAGCAAACAGAGCAACAATACCAACTACTTACTAGAGCAGAGAGAGAAAGAAAGAAACAGCTCCCCTTGGCAGGAGCTAAACCACAGAGTTCCACACACAGCCCAGTTCTCAGGATCCCACAGGCAGAAGAGGAATCCCACAGAGGATCTGCAACCAGCCCCAGCAGCTGCTATGAAATGGAAGGAAATGTCCTGTGTCCCAGCAGGAAGATGAACTTCCCTTGGGATTGCTCCTCACTCGTAGATCCAGTGTGCAGCTGTGTCCTCCCAGCAGGGCAGCTCCTCCGGCTGGAACCAGAGCGAGATCTCCTGCTGGGCACTCTCCACCGAGTCACTGCCATGGATCACATTCCTGTGGGCAAGGAGAAAGGGAGCAGCTCTAACCAAGCTGAGAAAGGTGGGAGGGGGATGCTGTACTCTGGAAAATTCCCCCTTGACCAATTTCATTAAAGTGATGGAGCCAGTCCTGTCCCACAGTATCCCCTCCTATCCCACAGCCCTCATCCTTCCAGCACTGCCAGAGCTGCAAGTGGCTGTAGCTCTGGGATTTGCATTTTTCATGTCAGTGATTCCAGCTGTGCCTCCAGATTTTTCCCCCTTCCATCAAAGCAGGTTTGGTATCAGACACAAGGAAACAGAGATCTAAGCCAGGATGGTTCAGTAAGAGCTCCCCTGGCCACAAGCTGGGGCCACCCAAGGTCACCACCCATGGATATTCACCTGCTCCCATGAAAGGACTGAGTGGGAGCCTCCCTTCCTCTTCACAGCCTGACAGTCCCGATTACCAGAGCAAAACAGGCAAACCCCACCTGCTTTCAACAAAGAACTCAGCAGGAAGGAAACAACCCAGGTTCTACCTCCTACTAAAGCCAACCCCAGGAAGCAGAGCTCAGCTCTGGTCTGAACACAAAAGGGAGAACTTCTGCTCTGGGAATGCAGACTCATGTGGCTTGGGCAGGCCTGGCACAGGAATGTCAGAACAGGATGCCCTGAAACACTGAGGGAAGAAGAAGCCAAAGCTCTCACTTGCTGACTTCAACACAGAAGTCTCCTCGGATGGTGCCAGGCCTGGATTCAGCTGGATTGGTCTCTCCGATCATGGCACGAACTGTCTTCACCACATCCAGGCCCTGCCAGACCTATGGGAGAGCAAAAGCAGGATCAACAACCACAGCTGCCCCAGCAGGTCACATCTGCCCTCTGAATTCCCCAGCGATCTGCTCAGGTGAGAGACAGGAAAGGGTCTCTCCAAATTATTCTTCCAAAGCTGATTTTGGAAAATGATCCAAATTTCTGTGGATGTTTCCCCATCCCTGGAAATGCTGAAGGCCAGGCTGGATGGGGTTTGGAGAAACCTTCGTCTAGTGGAGGGTGCCCCTGCCCATGGCAGGGGGTGAAATGAGACCTTTAAGGTCCCTTCCAACCCAAACCATTCAATGATTTAATTTAAAACAGAAAACATCCCTGCAGTTCAGTACAACTTCAAGAGACCCTCTGTGGGAAGGTATCACCTTCCTTCCAGGGTGTCAACAGCCATGCTGCTCACACCTTGCACTTTGTTCCTTGGTGCAGGGGCCAGCACTCACCATGGCCACGATGGGCCCAGAGCTCATGTACTTCACCAGGCGGCCGTAGAAGGGACGGTCCCGGTGGGCAATGTAGTGTTCCTTCAGCAGCTCCTCCGAGGCCTGCACAGAGCACAGAGCTTAGTCTGCTCCCACACAGCGGGATCTGGGCAAGGGCTGCGCCTCAGGGATGCAGAAAATTAAGAGAATTCAGCTCTTGCACAGACGCTTAATTCCAGGTGTGAAACAGCAGGAGCCAGACACAGACAGGAGTTTCCAGCTGCCAGCTTAGTGACATCCCTGAATACAGGCACAGCCAAGGGCAGACATGCTCCCCACAGCCGAAATCACCCCTCCCATTGCCAACTCTCCTCTGAGCTGCGAGGATTTGCTGCTGGAATGACACCAGCAGGCTGTGCAGGCCGGATAGGCAGAGCCCCCAGCAGTGACCGGCACAGCCGGGGCTCGGGGGGCTGCAGGGGCTCCTCGGCTCCAGGGACCCCCAGCCTGGGTGGGCCCGGCCGCTCACCTGCAGCAGCTTCATCCCCACCAGCTGCAGCCCCTTCCTCTCGAAGCGCCGGATGATCTCCCCGACCAGGCGCCGCTGGACCCCGTCCGGTTTGATGGCCACGAAGGTTCGTTCATTGACCCCGCCGAAGGCTGCAGGGAGAGGGCAGAGGTCTGAGGGGGGGAAGGAGACGTCTCCGGGCCTTCAGCCCAGCGGCTACAGGGGGGTCGCAGGCCCTGAGCCGTGGGGACACGGGGGGGTTCCCAGCTTCCCGCAGAGGAGGGCAGGGCGGTGCTGGCGGCGCCCCTCGGGCGTAGAGGACACACGGACAGGGGGGCCCTGGCCCGAGCCCTCATCCGCGGCGTCTCTCCCGGGGAAGGGAGGTTCCTGGCCCTCAGGCACAAGGGGGGTGGGGGTCCCTGGTCTCCAGGGCCGGGGGTCCCGTCCCGTACCACTGTGGAAGAGGCCGGCGAAGAGCCCCAGCACCAGGCAGATCATGACGACGCCGCTCTTAAAGGGGACACGCTCGCCCTGCGCTGTCACCGCCCCCCCGGAACCATCGTGCTGGGGGCGGGGAGCGGCGGGACCGAGACACGGGGACACGGGTACGACCCGTTCCCATGGCAACGGCGGGGCCTGGTGCCCGCTGGGACCGGGGGGGTCCCGATGGAGGCCGGGGGGACACCAGGCTCCACCTGTGCCAGGCGTCCCAGCCGCGGCCTCCTTGCTGCCGCCTCTGAGCTCCCCTGTGCCGCTGGCCCGGCGACAGCAGCCCGGCTGGTTATCGGCCTGTTTTGCCTTCGCTGTCTCTGGCGTTGCGGTCGTAATGCGCAGTAGTCGTGGTTAGACTAGTCCGGTTATGGGGCAGCCGCTGTGGCACTGACCGGCCCCTCTAGCTCGGGCTGGCACCTCTGGAAGAAAAGCTCTGAGCTCCCCCGGGCGGTGCTGCAAGAGCAGAGGGCAGAGCTCCAGCCCCTGGGAGCTCCTCTGCGCAGAGCACATGTTGCTGATTTAATTTTGGGGTGTAAGATCGAGGTTTTAACGCGCTGTCAGCCTCAAAGAGCTTCCTCAGGTATGAAGGGATAGGTAGGACTGCACTCCAGGGCTCCATTTCCAGCTCTCAGGAACTCATCTCTAGGTTCAGCTCCCTCCAAGATCGGCCTCTGGAAGTAGCAGCACATGAAATACCTTCACCAGGTGCCCTGTGGAGGGTTGGATTTGCTCCCAGAGCTGTTCAGGTGCCTCATGGAGCTCCAGGTCTGTTTCCATCCTGCTTCTCGTGTTCAGAGTGTTCTGCTCCCTCTGCTGTGTTCAGGTCTTGGCTGGGACAAGCAGGGATCTGTCTCCAAACAGCAGGGATCCAGACATAGTTTTAAGGAAATTATTCCTTCATTTGTACCAATAAATAATTAGTGGCTGTATCCTGACAGTCCAGAGCGTGGCTTTGCTGGGTGAAAGTTGACCCCGTTTGCTCCGGAACAATCGTGCTGTGGTGGTTGTTATTCTGCCCGTGGAAAAGCCTTTGTAGGATAAACAGTTTGGTGTGGAGTCCTGGGCAAGTCTTGGGCTTTTCCCCTCTGTAATAAATGGAATTGATTCATGCTAACTAAATTGTAACTATTTAGAAAGTTATTATTAAAAGCAATTAAAAGAATCAGTGTTACAAGGGAGATGTACCCCTTTACAGGTGTTACATGTTAAAATTGAGGTACAGGATGTAGTTTGGAAGGTAAGTGATGTCCCAAGATGAAAACGTCCTTGAGATGGACAAAATTAGAACGACTTCAGGCATTTGGCTTAAAAATCAGTGAATATAAGACTAATTAGTAGACTTATATAACACAACACTTAGTACACATGTGCAGACCTGTAAGGTTATCCAGAGGACAACGAGGACAAGGAGTAGCCTTCTCCAAAAGACCACCAAAAGAAGACTGAAGACCCCCTAAAAACAAGTGAGGCATGCACCGTGAAGGAAAGTGACATAAAGTCAGAAAAATGGGAAATAGGAGGAAACTTACAGGAAACATTGATGAATATGTATAAACACACAGTATATAAGTTTAGCTTGAAGTGCTTTGTTTGGTACGTGAGGCAGGGTGGGAAGCCTCTGTACCCCAGTCAGTTTTGCTTCTGCTTTAATTATGCTTAATTACTGGCAAATTATATATATATAAATTGTATTTTTTTACTAAATTGTATTCTTTTACTATACTGTATACTTTTATACCAAATTACTATTCAGTTTACTAAATTGTATTCATTTTTAATTAAACTGTTATTAACTCAAAGGACCTAGTTGTCAAATTCTGATTTAGTTTCTACCACCGCTGTTCCCGGAGCTCTGGTGCCGGCAGAGGGAGCACAGGCAGCGCGGAGGAGCTCGCAGCTCTCGGCAGATCCATCCCATCCCGGGCTGGGGCACTCTCCTAAAACATTGCTGGAATTTTAAAGGTGCACAAGCAGCGTGTTTTCAGCCCTCCCCTTGTGTTCTCAGGGACTGTTTTGTTGGAACATCTCTAACAAATCCCGCCTGGAGCAGGTGTCTGTGAAAGGAAACAGCCCTCACACGGTTTGGAAAGGTTGCAGAGCTCTCTGAGGAAGGTGCCTAATGGATGGTGTCAGTTCTCATTAGCTGCTCACAGAGCTGCTAATTAAGAGCCCGTTCTCCAAGTGCTGCCAGTGACATCTGTGTGCGTCCAGCCTGGTGTGCGGGAGTGGGAGTGGGGCTGAAGGGAGTGTGGCAGGTGGTGAAAGTCAGCTTCCTACCTCCAGCCTGATGGTTGATCTCAGTCTTCCTTCACAGAGGGCTGGTTCAAAAATAATGATGTTTCTATCAGTTTGATAAGATTTGTTCTAGGACACTTTTCAAGGTGCCTGCAGAGGTGTCAGTGATGAAGTCAACAGCTCAGTCCCCAGCCCAGGCAGCACCCATGTGTGCTGCAGGCAGCCAGACTTCCACACAGGCAGAATCTCTCATTTCACACTCATTTTAGTTTTGTTGTTTATTAATGCTGATGAAACACCTCATTTTCTCATACCATGAATGTTCTGTCATTCTCCACAGGTCTCCTCAAAGATCCCAGTGCAGGCACTTGGGTGAAGGTTTTCATTTCCTTGGACTGTAAATGTTCTTTTGAGCCTCAGGCAGTTCCCTCCAGCAGAACTTGGAGGAGACACATGTCAAACACTCTCCACTTGGGTGAGTCCTTCTCATCATCTCTGGCAGTGATGTGCTGTGGGGAGAAAGCTTTGACTTCCCTCTCTAGGAGCCCCAGAAATGTGGATTACTGGTGACCAGGTAGCTTGGGAAATGGAGCTGGGCCTGATTCCCAGGCAGATTATTCCTGAGCCAGTGTCTTTTAGGCACAGTTTTAGGCAGGTGTGTATTTAGGGTAAGCACAGGAAGCTGCAGTAAGTAAGAATGAGACCACAGATCCTTCCTACAGAGCTTTCACTTGGGTGCTCAGCATTCTCAGCCCAGATGTGTGCATGGAATGGTGCCACAGGCAACAGCTGCACATCTGGAAGGGGCTGAATAAATTTGCTGCCTCGTTTGGAAAGCCCAGTGAGCACTTTTTGAAGCCCTCACTGGGAACCTGAAAGGCCAAGTACCTTCTGGCACCAAATATCTTCTCATTTCAGTGGGAAGGTTCAGGGTGGAAGGATCCCAGTGTGGCAGGGGAGGCTGGGGGGGGCTGTTCCCATGCTCGCCCCCACTGCAGGAATTTCAGGCGGAGGCAGAACTCTATTTTTGCTCTTGCTGGATAGAACATTGCAGATCCTGTGGTTATGTAAGAGACTCCAGAGCATGTAGGTGCAGATAACGTGGCCATCCAGCACTGTGCAGTGCAGACAAAGGCTTTTTGTCTCTTTTTGTCACACTTAGCAACTCCTGCAGTTGGCAGTGCCTTCCTTCTCGGGCTCTTTTTGCACCTTTTTGCTTGTTTGGGGAGGATTTTCACCTTTCAGTTCAGCCATCTTTCACCAGTGTAGCATTGGCACAGCATGGAGTGTTGGTGCCTCTCACAGTGTGGGCTCTGCACAGGTGCAGACCAACTTTCACACTGGACCACTGATCCTGCTGGAAATATTTCACCTTTTAGGATAAAGAGGGGTTGGTAGAGCCAGAAGATTTCCTTAAGCATCTTTTGCTGGATGCAGGGGATACAGATGTCAGAGCCAGAGCTACATAAAGTGTAGTGACCCACAGCAGGGTCACTTTCCAAGGGAACATGGAACAGATGAGAGGATCCATTCCAAACTGCCATTGCTCCACCCTGGAACAAAGCTCTGATGTAGAGGTGGGGGGTCTGAAAACTGGGAGTAGCTGTCTGAGTAGAGCAGAAAGTCTCCAGGGGTACACCTTTAACCCTAGGACAGGTGCTGCTTCCTCAGAGGGAATGGCTCAGGCCAGACTTGCCTTTCCTTGCATTTGGCTTTTCCAATCTTGTGGAGTCCATAAAAGATTTCCTTGAAAGAAACACTCAGGGTACACAGCCCAGGGAAACACTTGCACTTGGAAGCAGAGGTTTGTGTTAGTTCTCACTTCTGTGCAGTGCTAAAGCATTTTATTTATACCTGTCTGGGCAGCCTGTGCTTCTTCCCTGAGAAATTCCCAGAAAAACTGGGAATTTCTTCCCATCCAAGACTAGAGAAGGACAGGCTGGAATAGGCAGTGCCAGTGATGAGATGGGCCTGGAGCCCTTGTCGTGTGCTCTGAGTGTGTCACCTGTGTGCTGCTCCCAGTCCTGGCTCCTTCCTGTCCTTGCAGGTGCACAGCAGAGGAGTCTCTGTGCTGATGGTGAGATCCCATCCAAAACTCCTGCACAGATGCAGCTGCAGTAGCTTGGTCTGTCCTGTTCTGTCTGGAGTATTTATTGGAATCCCAGAACAGTTTGGGTTGGAAGAGACCTCAAAGCCCATCTCATTCCATTCCCCTGCCACGGAGAGGGACAGCTCCCACTGTCCCAGGTTCCTCCAAGCCCTGTCCAGCCTGGCCTTGGACACTTCCAGGGATCCAGGGGCAGCCACAGCTTCTCTGGGCACCCTGTGCCAGGGCCTGCCCACCCTCCCAGGGAACAATTCCTTCCCAATATCCCATCCAGCCCTGCCCTAATCCCTGTTCAGAGGGGCCTGAATGAAGTCTCCCCTCTCCAAATGCATCACCAGCTGCTCACCTGTGAAAGGGGCTGTTGCTTCTCCCTCAGTTCCCTGCCGTGTAGAGCCTGTGTGTCCCCCCAACAGTGCTCCTTGTGATGCCACAGCACTCACAAAGTAGGTCAAACTATCTAAACCCTGGCTTGAAATCCCTTGAAATAAATTCCTGCCCTGCCTGAATGTGTCGCAAGGGGGTTAGGAGTCATGGCTTATGGGGAGTTAAGAAAGGTGAGCAGCTTTGCTCATCTGTTTGTAGCTGAGTAAACAGCCCTGGACAGCCCGGCTCCCTGTCCTACCCTCCCGGCTCCCTGTCCTGCCCTCCCGGCTCCCTGTCCTGCCCTCCCGGCTCCCTGTCCCTGCCCTCCCGGCTCCCTGCTTTGCCAGCCCATCTCCCTGCCCTGTCTGCCCAGCCTGGCCTCATCTCGCCCAGGGAAGTGTCCAACCCATGCTTTCAGAGAATCGTTAAGGCTGGAAAAGACCTCCAAGATCAAGTCCAACCACTGAGCAAACACCGTGCCTGCAGAGCCGTATCGGGAGGTACCACATCCACTGATCTTTTGGCCCCTCCCAGGGATGCTGACTCCAGCACTGCCCTGCTGCTCTCATCAGGCGACTTTGGTGACACCAGTGCTGAAAGGGGTGAAAAGGGTGAGAACCTCGGGCTATCCTGGCTCACCTGAGCCTTGGTCGGTGTGTTACATGTTCCACCTGTGACACTTCTCTGGGTGCTGTCCCTAGATGTGTGGTAGGAATTTGGCCAGCACCTCTCTGACAAGGGCAGCAACAAAACACCTGGACAAGTGAGTCATTCCCTCACATCCCAAGCCCAGAGCTTTGGGAAACCTCAGTGAAAGTTACAGGAATGTTTGTCTGTGGCTGTCAGCCTGTCCTTGATGCTGTGGAAAGGCCCAGATTATTTGTGTGTGTCAATATCCTTTTGAGTCTCTGCAGATGAAAATCTGTTCTTGTGGTGAATGCAGTGGTGACTCAGCACTAGGGGAGGAGGGAAGATGACCTTAGGAAAATCTTTTCATCCCAGTGCTCTGGAGATGTCTAGGAAAGGAAAGATTGAGTGGGAAAAAATATTAGCCCTTGGCAGAAAGAGGCTTTAGAAGAAGCCCAGAGCTTAATGCCAGGGGAAGGCTGCAGGGTCTGGGGTCTGGGCACACAGCAGCCTCAGGCCTTGCTGCCAGTTCTTTCTGCAGGAATCAGCTGGAGCTGCAGGAGTTTCCTTCCTGCCCTTCCAGGCTCAGAGGTTGCAAGAGAAGGACAATCCAGGACTCTGGCAGGTGTGGAAGTGACAATTCCAGCAGTAGAACACAGGCAGCCCTGCGGCAGCTACAGTGGAAGCAGCCCCTCCCTGCTACAGGTGAGCCCTCAAAGCCCTCTGTGGCTTTGTGTTAAAGCTTGGGGGACAAGGGCAGGGAGGGCATTCATGGGCATCCTCACTAAAAGCTCTGTGTTGATGGAGCAAACAAGCCCTGAATGTGCCACCAGCTCCCTAGAGAAGCAAGCCTTGTCTCTGGGTGTGTGATTAAACCAAAGCCTTGCTCCAGCAGTATCTGCTCACCCTCCTGTTGGCCCTCTCAGGCCTCTCCCTGCTGTGGTCTCACTTCCCAGGACCTGCTCACATCACCCTGGCGTGTTCCCCAGGTGATACCTGGGCAGCCACTGTCCCCCATGGTCTGTGTCTCAGCTCTGGTTTTGCTGTCCCAGTGGCTGCTGCTGCAGTCTGACAGCTACAGCCCTTCAGGCAGAAAATTTATCACCCCAGAGCTGTGGGGGCTTTCCACAGGACCAAGCTCTCCTCAGGGTGTGCCCCACACCTTCCTTGCTCTTCTGATGTCTGATCCTTCAGGGAGCTGTTTTAGCTCACCAAGTTCTCCCGCCTCCCACACCCCTGAGCTTTCTGCTGCTCCTGACTGAGAGTGGCAGGAGCAGGATTAGACTGGGATTCTCTGACCCTTCTGACAGCAGCTCAGCCAATGGATGAAGGCACATTTTTATCAGCATGTGTTTATGTGAACATTAATAATATAAAACTCCTACTAGATGAGGAACTCTGACAGAACTTTTTTTTTTCCTAGAATCTCATGTAGTCAAATACTCTCCTGTCCTTTTCCTTCCCCTCGAGCTTTGGTCTCTGTCCTCAGCACAGCCTCTTTGGAAGATGTGTTTCTGCCCAGTGCCAGAGGGCAGGGACAGATGGGATATTGCGAAGGAATTGTTCCCTGGGAGGGTGGGCAGGCCCTGGCACAGGGTGCCCAGAGAAGCTGTCCAAGTGGATCCCTGGAAGTGTCCAAGGCCAGGCTGGACAGGGCTTGGAGCAGCCTGGGACAGTGGAAGGTGTCCCTGCTCATGGCAGGGGCTGGGACTGGATGAGCTTTAAGGTTTTTTCCAACCTAAACCATTCTAGGATTTTATAAAGTGGCCTTACAGCTCTCTCTGGAGAGAGACTGAGTGTGTGCAAGGTTTGTTTCCAAGTGATAAATATCTGTTTGTTCTGAGCTTTATCCTCTCATCCTGATATGCTTGGATGAAGATTCAGTCATGGATCCTCACTGTAAGAATTGGATTGAGTCCTGAAGGAATTGGGGTCTTCTAGAGCATCTGTGCTAACTGTTCCCTCCTCTTTGGTGCTCGAAGGCCTATGGAGAATGCAGCACAGAGGGTGACAAGTGACACCCTCTGAGCATCCCAGTGACATGGGACATCAGTGGCAAAGACCACTGTGTTGGGGCAAGCTTACCCTGCCACATCTCTAAGCCCAGCCTTGTTCAGCTTCTGTCCTGGTCCCCACAGCAGGACTGTGGGTGGTGTTGGTCACTCCTTTTATCTGCCAGGGCTTGGCTGTGGCTGAGCTGCAGCTGGGAGCCCAGCCAGGGGAAGCAGCCGATTCTCCTTCAGAACAGAGACTTGCACATCAATAAATGTCTTGTTACAGATGCTTTCTTCAGCCTCTTGGTTCCATTTCCTCTTTTAGCTTCCCCAGCTTTCTATCCCACTGGCTGGAGAGCTGGCTGCCTCCTGTGAGAGCTAAGGAATGTTGGAACAAGGGCTGGGTGTAGCTCTGTCCTTACAGGTGAGGTGGTGGGCAAGCCATGTCTTTTCCTCAACCTGTTCTGACTTTCCATACTCTGTCTCTTTGTGGGATCCTGCTGTGGCTACCAAGGACAGGTGGGTCCTGTTTGAGTCACTTTGGAAAACACTTGCCAATTGTCAAAACCAGCTGAGAGGAGAGGAACTGCTTCCTTGGGGTAACACAGCTCAGGGCAGGGGAGTTTGTACACTGAACTCCCACCATGAGAAAATGCTGAATAAGCTCCAGAAAATCCATGGGAAATGGTGGGTTAGGATGGGATTCTCTTTTCCCAAAGCAAATGCTGCATCATTACTCAGAAATAACCACAGCCAGGATGGGGGTGGGTCAGGGCTCCCCCAGTGACTGCTGAGGTTTGGGACAGTTCACTGGAGCTTTCCACAGTGACACAGAACCCCTGGAGCAACTGAGTAGTGCTGCAGGAGAGGGAGGGCCCCTCCAAACCATGTTCCTCCCTGCCAGGGATTCCTCTGCCACCAGCTGCTGCTGCTTGGGTCAGTTCATGGGGAACAGCAAACCAGCAAGGCAGCTTGTTCTGGTTGCAGCCAAAACCTCCCCTCCACGCTGCTGCCCAAACCATTTCTGACAAGCACCTGCAGCCTCCTGCCTTCAAGGGCCCCAAGAGGAACAACAGACAGCTTCTACTTTTATTATTACAGTTTAACACAGTCTTGGACAGAGGAGAAGCGCAGGAACCAACATGCAAAGCAATTCAAAGACCCCAGGGGCTCGAGGAAGACCACCCACAGCTCAGCTCCTGCTCCCAGCAGTGCCTCTGGGGGCTCTTTCCCTCCAGCTGCTGCTCCAGTCATGCCCCAGAGCAGGAGGGAGGTCATGGCAGACACCAAACCTACACACACAGAGAGGAGAGAACTGGCCTGGGATTGTGTCTTGATGAGTCAGGTCCGTTATCTGACTGGAATCCAGTACACTCCAACCAGGAGGCCACCTTAATCACCACAGAACATCCTGAGCTGGAAGGGAGCCATGGAAATTATCAGTCCAACTCCTGTCATCAAGTCCAATTTCTTAAACGTTGTCTGTGCCAACAGGGAGAAGAGAGATCCTTCAGGAAGAGGTGCTGACTTCCATAGCAAGCCAGGAGATGAAGCTCAGATATTTCACCACAAATTTCTTGTGTCAGAGCTGGCATCTCTTGGAGCCAGCAACTCTTCTAAATGCCTGTGATGGATGTCGAGGCCAAAGATTCCCACAGCACTGGAGAAATCTTTGCCAACACGTAGAAATGGATGTCCCCAGAAGGAAGAGGTGCATCAGACTTGACTGGCCCTTGCAGACAACACAACAAACACCACCCAGCTGCTGTGCAGAGCCATTATGTCCTCCTGCACCTCTTCCTTTGGCAGGCCTCCGCATCCGAGCCGCACGAGCTGTCCGAGTCGCTCCCCGAGGACGAGGAGGAGGAAGGCTTTGACGTGCTACAGTTCATGCTCAAGACCCAGCCCAGTTTGTTGTGCAGCACCTGCTTGAGTCCTGGGGGCAGGGGCAGCACTTCCAGCGTGTCCACATAGTCAGGCAGGAGCTGGCGCAGGCGGAAGCAGCACAGGTACTGCAGGGACGTGCAGCTGGCACAGGACCGGATCACCTTCATGCTGCTCTTGGCTGCCGTTGAGCACACCATGGGGTAAAACTTCTTGTTCTGCAGCTTTGTGGCTGCCACCCCTGCCAGGGCATAGTACCAGGGAGGACACGTTAGTTTAGATATAGAGATCTCCCACCTACCCCAAACCCATTAACTGCAAAACTCCAAAATCCCAATCTATTAAACAACAAATGTGAGTGACCTCCCACTCACTTCACACCTTGGTCTTCTGCTTTCCCAGTGTTTCCTGCTGCAGCCAGACTCGAGTTCCTCCCACCCCATCCCTGGCTCTCACCTATGCACTTGCGGTTCTTGAAGAACGTGAGTGTCCCGTGCCACGTGTCCAAATGCACACCAATAATGGAGCCTTGGCCAAACCTCGAGGAGAAGTTTGTTTTGTCCCCCTTGTGATGCAGCAGTCCTGAAAATACACCCAAAAAACGGCATTCTGTGGAAAACCTGCACTGCAGGAATTCATCCCAACTCTCATGCTGCTGTTACAGCCTCGCTCAGTGCCAAAAACATCCCTGCATTTCTGACCCCTGCCCTCCCATCCCAGAGTGGCTGGGAGCTCCAGAGCACAGGGAGCAGCACTGAAACTCCAAAGTGGTGATGTGACAGTAGTACCCTGGTGTCCTGGCAGGGTCCCACACCAGATCTAAGTGGACCAGGAGAGATGCTCCAAGGGCTGTGAGCTGTCAGCTCTGGTGTCCCTAATGAAGGGATTCACAGGTCTGGTGGCACCTCATGTGCCACTGCTGCCCACCCAGCCACCCTGTCCGTGTTACCTGTGTAAGAGAGTCCCCAGCTGTCCTCATCCTTGCCCAGCAGGCTGCAGAAGGTGTGACGGTACTTGTCCAGGTTCACATCCGATGTCCCAATCCCCACCATCTGGAAGGCAAAGCAGGGAGTAAGAACACAAACTCAGTGTCTTTTCAAGCAACAAAACACAACCAAGATTCCACCTCCAGTTCTTCCCTCCTCTTCTTGGCTCAGCCCAAAACACCCAGAGGGGTTGGTGAAGCCAAGGTGGAGTTTTCAGGGTGGAGCTGAAGGCTCTCTGCTACAATTTCTTTTCCTAAGTGAGGAGGCCCAGCTAAACTGCTGGAGAAGGTCACTGTCCTGTTCACAGGGTAATGGAATGGTTTCAGTTGGAAGGGACTGTAAAGCTCATCCCATTCCACCTGCTGCCATGGGTATGGACACCTTCCACCATCCCAGGTTGCTCCAAGCCCCATCCAGCCTGGCCTTGGACACTTCCAGGGATCCAGGGGGCAGCCACAGCTTCTCTGGGCACCCTGTGCCAGGGTCTGCCCACCCTCCCAGGGAACAATTCCTTCCCAATATCCCATCCATCCCTGCTCTCTGGCAGTGGAAGCCATTCCCTGTGTCCTGTCCCTCCATCCCTTGTCCCAAGTCCCTCTGCAGCTCTCCTGGAGCCCCTTTAGGCCCTGCAAGGGGCTCTGAGGTGTCCCTGGAGCCTTCTCCTCTCCAGGTGAGCACCCCCAGCTCTCTCAGCCTGGCTCCAGAGGGGCTCCAAGCCCTCGGGGAATCTCCATGGGCTCCTCTGGACTCTCCCCAGCAGCTCCACGTCCTGCTGCTGTTGGCCCCAGGGCTGGAGGCAGCTCTGCAGGTGGGGTCTCACCCGAGGGGGCAGAATCCCCCCCTCCCCACTCTGGGGGCTCAGCAGACAACTGAGGGCATGGGGGGATGGTTCTGGGTGCTCATGGTCAGGCAGTGTCCAGTTCTCATCCTCCAACACTCCCTGTCTTTCTCCCAGGGCTGCTCTCACTCCAATCTCTGCCCAGCCTGGATTGGTGTTTGGGATTGCCCTGACCCAGGTGCAGCACTGGCACTTGGGCCTTGTTCAACTTTCTTCCCATGGCCCCAGCTCTCCAGCCTGTCCAGGTCTCTCTGGATGTCCCATCCCTCCCCTCCAGGGTGTCACCTCCTGACACAGCTGGGTGTCAGCTCCAGTCTGGCTGAGGGTGTCCTGATCCCCACTGTCCATGTCCCCAGCAGAGATGTGAAACAATACTGGTCCCAGTGCCAGCCCTTGAGCAATGTCACTTGTCACTGGTCTCTGCTGACTCCCAACTCTTTGCATGCGACCATCCAGACAATTCCATATCCCCCAAGTGGTCCCTCTGTCAAATCCATGTCTCTCCAGGTTAGAGCCATGCAAGACAGGAACAAATGCTTTGCACAAATTCAGGGAGATGAGATCAGTTCCTCTTCCCTCCTCTACCAACACTTAAACCCCCACCACTGAAGGCCACTGAATCGCTTAGAGAAGCCATGATGGATGCCATCAATCACAGCCACTTTTTCCATGTGCCTTTGCATAGTTTCCCAAAAGGATGTGCTCCACAATTGCCAGGCTGAGGCGAGACTGGTCAGCCTGTACTTCCCCAGATCATCCTTATTTCCTTTTCTAAAAATGGAGGTTATGTTTCCTCTTTTCCAGTCACTGGGAACTTCACCAGACTGCCACAGTTTCTCCAGTATGACAGATACAGGCTAAACCACTTCATCCAGCAGCTCCCTCAGATCCCAGGGATGCATCTCATCAGCTCCCCATGAACTTGTGCACAGACAGCCTCAAACCTCATCTGCCATGGTGGAACCTCATCCTGCCAGCCCCTGTCCAAAATCCTGGGCATTTCTGTGTGCCCCACACGTACCATGTCAGTGCCATACACCGGAGAGGTCATCTTGATCTCCCAGAAGTGCTGCCCATCTGCCAGCTCCTTGTTGCCGCGGATGGCGGCCGTGCCACAGCTGTACTCCATGTGGAAGTTCACCTTGCGGTTGTCACACGTCAGCAGCGTGGCCGTTGACTTGTTCAGGTCATCCCACACCCAGTCAAAATCTGTTGAGGAAGCACAGAGGGGACAAGGATGGGGCAAAGACTCTAAGGGAACGAGCTCCAAGCCAAAGCACAGGCAGATGTTTGTTTTGAACACCTGTTGGTAGGTTCATTTATATTTCTCTTATTATTTAAGAGGATAAATCTTAAGCTGTGCACATCAGAGAAGTGCTTGAGGCCTGAACTACTCTGCAGTGTCCCACCAGGGATGATCAGCACTCCAAAGCTGTAAGCATTCACCAGGCCAAATTTTGGCTGACACCGGGCAGAGCCTCCCTTCTCCGCACACTCCTCATGGGATCAAGGGTGGCTCTGCCATGCCACAGGCTCTCCCCCCCGGCCCAAACCCACCCTGTGCTCTGAGCCAGGCACCCTGCCAGCCCTGCAGGGATCAGGAGGGCCCTAAGCACTGGCTCTGCTCACTGGGGCCTAAGCCAGATCAGAAAGCAGGTCCCAGGGGTGAGCGCTGACGCCGTACCAGCATCAGCCCTGAGCCTAGAAACACGACAGCAGGCACAGGCTGGTAATCCTCCTACATCCTTGGGATGTAAACAGAAGAATGCTGGGACAGGAACAGGAACAGGACACTGCAGGGACCCCCCCATCCCGAGCCCCAGGGGAGCCCCTTACACTCGTCCTCCTCGCCGCAGCGGCAGTCACGGACACGGTGCAGGGCGTGCAGGCTGGAGCAGTAGGGAGCTTCACTCTGGTTCTCACAGTTGCAGTAGGACTCTCCAGTCACAGGGATGGCACTCGGGATGGAGGGAGACAGGGAGGAAAACTCCGGCTCTGAATCCGAGTCACTGTGCTGCTGGGGACAACAGGGAATGCTCACTGCTGGGGACAACAGGGAATGCTCACTGCTGGGGACAACAGGGAATGCTCACTGCTGGGGACAACAGGGAATGCTCACTGCTGGGGGGAACAGGGAATGCTCACTGCTGAGCATCCCAGAGCTGGGCTGGCAGATCTCTGTGACTGGGACATCTCCAGGCTCATGTCATGGCCTGGTCTGTCACACAGGGAGGCTGTGCCCATGGAATTACCCTGCTTTGGGACATGGATAGTGCCTGCTGAGCTGCAGGGACCTCTCAGCACTCTGTGGTGCAGGGATGTTCTTTGTGCCTGCCGTGGATCTGTCGCAGCAGGGTGACAGCCCAAGTCTGGAACACACACATTTTGAAGGATATCCTTCAAAACCTGCTTTCACCAGGCAGGTTCCAGCCATCAGCAGAACCGAGCAGAACAGAGCACTGCTCTGGAGAGGCTGTGAAGAGGCTGGGAGGCAAAGGGAGGAGGAGAAGGGAGAGGGGGCAGAACAAAGGGAGCCAGTTGAGCAGCATGGCTGCAGCTCCTCAGGCCAGTGCTGCAGACAGGCCCATGGGGAACCCAGGGCAGGATTAAAGGGCTGTTGTTTACTCTCATGAACACAAAAACCTGATTTACTGTTCCTCAGTGCCACAAGATCAAAGTGATCCTGGACTGGACCCTGTAAGAGTGACAGTCCAGTGTCACTTCTGTGTTAGGGTATTGCCTAAGGGATTCTCTTATCACTGGTTGCAGAGTTACTCTAGGTTTACGTGCTGCTCAGGTGTACCTGCCTGTTATTCATCCCCATGGCCAGGGGTATTTAATGACAAAAATCCTTTAAACTCATGTCCTTGCAGCTGTGTAAGACAGGGAACTACTTGGGTTTAAATATGTGCTTACCCAGGCCTCCCTCCTTGGCCTGCAGACCCAAGAGCTTGGATTCTGTCTTTCCCAAGTACTGCTACCTAGAGATCCTGTCATTCCTATGACTGCAGGGACAGAAAACTGCCCATTTTCTGGGAGTCTGTGCCTGGGTTTGGACACTGTGCTCTGGCAGAGCGTCCTGGCTTCAGTGTGGCTCTGAAGCTCCTGGAGCAGCTCCTTATGTCCCCACCACTGCACAGGGAACTCAAGAATTAGGGAAATAGGGAAGGACAACAGAGGCAAATTAGTCACTCCTTGCACTGTTTTACACAGCTTTCCCTGCTGTGTTCCTATCTCCAGCACACCTGGACCAGGTTCAGAAGTGAAGTTCACACTGCAGTGCAGAAAATGCGAGAAAATTTCAGTCTGAAGACAGAAATTGCAGTCTCCACCACCATCTCCAAGCCCCTGACAGCCCAGGAGGGAGCACAGCCAGCCAGGTTAGGGAACTGATCCACTTCAAACACTCATCTAGAGCTCTACTTCCAAAATAAATATTTTAAAATCTTGTACGTACTTTACATATGACACACCCATTCTATGCTTAAAAAAGCATTTAGTTTAGTATCAATATTGGCCATTACTAAATCCTTTCTGCTTTTGGCCAGTTCAGACCTGGTATCAGGGAAAGGAAAACACCCCCTGTGCTACCCAGAGCCCCCCAAGCCCAGCCTACCTGCCCGTCAGAGTCGTAGCCCCAGCCCCGTGTGCTGGCCCGGCCGTCGGCCTCGCGCCGGACCCCGCTCAGGACGAAGTGCCAGGCCCGGCTGCTCCGCGGGCGCCGCGCCATGCTGCCCCCAGACAGGTAGGCTGGGAAAGGAACACCAGGTTACACTTCTGCCATGTCCCATGGCCACTCCCTGAGGCACCAGAACCCCGCAGGGGGACCAGCACAAGTTCAGCTGACACAAAGGAAGTTCCATCCGCATCAAGAGCCTCTGCGAACTTCAAGCTCTTTCTCCACCCAGGGTCAACTTCTCCCTGAGCCAGGAGTTCAACTGGCCTCTAGAAACACTCCCAGTATCCAGTGGTGGTGGTGGCAGCTGCCCCTCTGAGGAACTGGCTCCTCAGAGCCACCTCTCACCTGGCCTGGGGACCTTCAGGGCTGTCAGAATCACAGAGTCCTTTGGGTTGGAAAGACCTTCAAGCTCATCTCGTTCCACTCCCTCCACAGGCAGGGACACCTCCCACTAGATCAGGCTGCTCCAAGACACACCTCCCTGGTGCCCAGTGACCCTCCAGCAGCTGTCCTGGCTCTGGCCACCTGCACTTCCCTGGCCCCTCTGCAACCGTCTGTCTCCAGGGAAGGTTGTCCACCCGCAACTGCCGTCTGATGGAAGACTTTGCTCCTCTCAGTGCTTAGAGAAGAAGAGAAACCACTTTCCTTCTCACTGGAGGGAAACCAGGCTTGTGACAGACAGCTTGCCTCAAGGACAACAGGCAGAAGGGAAGCAGCTGCCTGTCCCCCAGCCCAACAGGGATGTTATTCAGAGACAGATTTCCCAAGGCTCCTTCCCTGTGCACAGTCTGACATCCACAGCAGCTCCCAGCTCCCACACAGGACCACTGCTCTGGATGTGATAGGGAAACCTCAGCTTCCAGTCTCATCTGCCTAAAGTTAATCTTTGCAGGATTTAAATCCCCACCAAGAGGCACCCTCAGGGCTGTAACCCTTGAACCCTCCCAGCTCAGCCCCAAGCCAGAGCCTGCCATAAAGCACCTAGCCCTGTTCCTCAGTCCCCAGTGGGACAGAAGCTCCTGGAGAAGCAGGACAGGCCAAGCCACAGGCAGCTGTGCAGCTGCCCATCAATGCTTTGAAGGGCTCTGGAAATCCCACCTGCTGAAATCACAGGGCTTGCAAAGCCATGCTGGGAAAGCATCTAAAACCACAGCAGAAACCCCTTCTCCAGCTTTTCTGAGGACCCACAGCAGCCCAGTGGAGCTGCTCTGCTCCCCTAGGCCCTTGCTAAGGCTGGGGCTTAGAATCAGCACAGAGATCCCAGTACATGATCCAGCACTGATGGCAGAATCAATGGAATCATTCAGGCTGGAAAAGATCTCTTGGATCAACAAGTCCAACCATTCCCCCAGCAGTGCCAAGGCCGCCACTGACCCATGTCCCCAAGTACCACATCCACACAGCTTTTGAGTCCTTTCAAGGATAGGGACTTCAACACTGCCCTGGGCAGCTGTGCCAGTGCCAATAACCACCCTTCTCATGAAGGAATTTTCTCAATATCCAGTGTAAACCTCCCCTGGCACAACCTGAGGCTGTTGCCCCTTGTCCTGTCCCTGTTCCCTGGGAGCAGCCAGAAGGGCCCCCTGAGCCTCCTTTTCTCCAGGCTGAGCCCCTTTCCCAGCTCCCTCAGCTGCTCCTGCTGCTCCAGCCCCTTCCCAGCTCTGTTCCCTTCTCTGGACACGCTCCAGCCCCCCGCAGTGTCCTTCTTAACCAGAACTGCCCCTAGGATTGGAGATGCCTCAGCAGTGGCAGCAGAGGGGACGGCCCCTGTCCCGATGCTGCTGTCACAGCAGCGCTGCTACGGAAAGCCGCTCACCCTGAGGGGTCCCGGACCCGCTGAGGCCTTTCCAAGGCGATGCTGCGGGACACGCACTGCGCCCGCGCTGCCCCAGCGCTTCCCCCCGCACCGAGCGGCACTGGGGGGGCACAGCAGG